AGTGTAGGGCACAGGGCACACACAGATCTGCAAGCCCCTTGCTTCACCTCCTCAGCACAGGGCTGTGCATGAGGGGCCTGGAGCTTTGCTCTGAACCAGAAGGGCTTTTTTTCCAGGAGTTAATTTCCTTTGTATCCCATTGAAAATAGCATCACTGAGTTCTGTACAGACTCCCTGAAGGCATCCTTGTCTTGCTGGGGATTTCTCTACCAGGTTGTCTCCATCTCTCTCTGTTTCAGGCTATTTTCTTCCATTTTGAGACTAGGAGAGTTCTTTCCCTGCCTCCCAGAGCAACTGGGTTTCCCACCTTCCTCCCTTCCTGTCACTTCAGAAGCCCTCTCTTCCCTCCCAGGCAGTGCTTAGTCCTCCTATCTCACTCTCATTTCTGTTTGGTTTTTTTTTTGTTCCTTATCTCTACACTGTGGGCTCCTATTTGGCTCATACATTGGGTGCCTCTCTGCACCTCTCACTAATCCCACACCCACCCCTGCCACAGTCCCCAGGCAGGGCTGACCTTTTGGCACAGGCATACCAGTCCCAGCCTTTTCCAGGCTTCTCCAAAACATTGCTAAGATGAGGGGTAAATTGGTTAGGAAGGGGAAGCAAGCAGGGGAGATATCACTTGGGACAGTTTGCATTGCATGAGCCAAAAGATTAATAAAAGAAGTTAAATTATTTTCAATATTAAGAGATACCCAACTTGTTATAGATTTTATTCTATAAGCAGCACCAAAGGGATGGGCGTATTAACATCTCATTAACATCATCTACTTCAATTTGCATAAAAACTTGAAAACTTATGAAGCACAATACGAAGAAAAGCCTTTAACTGTCTTGTTTCTCTCTGGCTGCAAGTGGCAAAGAATGGAGGAAGCTGATAATGCTCTTTCAGTTCCTGAGGACTTCAAGCAGATTAAAAAATAATATGACATGAACAAACACCATTAATATGCTCACTAGCAGCTGGCTGAGAAGCTTAAAGACAAACATCTACAACACCATTGAAGCATAAAATAGTGTAGGAACACCTGAAGAGAGATCTGTCGACAAGGAGGTGCCCAGCACATGAGGTTGGTCACCAGCAGCTTTGGGTACTGTGGGAGACTTGGCAAGCTGTGTCTTCCACTGTGGAAGTACTTGGAACCCACCTGCTCAGATTTTGCAAGAAGCAGGGAAAAGATGCAGATGTATTTATGGCTTCCACACACCACTGGTCACAAACTGTGTTTAGGTTCTTTACCACATTAGTTCAAACAAGTGCAAAATGTGCAGCTCCCAGCACTTACCAAAAAGAGACTCCTGTGGTGTATTAAGATACCTCTAACAATGCCACATAGAAACCATAACTAGGCCCACATTCTCTTTTAGCTCTCTTCCCCTAACACAAGACTAACTTGAGCTGCATTCATTGGCATCCAGCTGCAGGGAGAAGACAGGTCTCCAGTCGGCTGTAAAAGTTTTCACCATCCTTAAGCACCAGGAAAGGAATTTCCCCATCCAATTAGCAAAGCCTCCACCCCTACAATCTGAGCAGTTGTGCTGAGTATCATTAATCACTCTATCAAATGAAGCGTTCACCACCCTCCTGGCAAGAGCAGGTTACTGACAAACATCCTTCATTCCCATTCCCACTGAGGATTACATGGCAATGCATCTGGCAACGACCTCTGGGGTTTATGTTTAACTAAACCACACGTACAGGCAGTTGGTTTAAGTACAATGTAAAATACCTGTATGTTTATCTGTGTTTATCAGCTCTCCTTCCCTGTGACCTACCAGTAAATAAATATTGCATCAGATGCCTGCATATATTATATGCAGCCTGACTCATCACATCACACGTGGTATTCATGCTAAATCTGCCTAACCCAGCAAACAACAAACACCAGCATGAACAGAACATCTTCACAACCCTTTCCTTTCTGGCTCCGTGCCTGCTCTCGCACTGGAAGGGCTGCTGTACTGGAGAGGGTGGTTGATGTTTGCACTTGCACAGCTCCTGGAGGAGTAAGATGCTCAAATACAAGAAATTAATATTCACAGAAGAGCTGTCAGGGGAAAAGGAGACGTTTTCCCTGAGGTGCACTGTTACAGTACAGTGTGTTTGACTGGCACTAGGCTCCCTCTCCTTCACAGGGAGAAACAGGAGACACAAAATCTTTCTACTCCTAACTTTCCCCATGTAGTTAGGGTACTGTTTCAGAGGACTCCTGCCCTTAAGCAGGCAATATAATCTGACAGATGTTCACAGCTGTGGTCTGGGTTATGCCCTCTTCTGACAGGATAGGCTTCAAAGTAGAAAGTAACATCTTCCAGAGGGGCAGGTGGGAAGGATACAACCACAGGCTTCAGAAGACTCAAAGGCATGTCTCGTGCCTGATCTCACAGGAACAGACATGTCCACAGAACCTCACAGGATGAGCAAAATTAACTGAAATCCATCTCAGCACTACCAAAAAAAAAACATGAGAGAGGGCAGGTTTGTAGCTTCAGTGGTTAGAGTACAGCTTTGAACATTATTGTACAGTTCAACAGTTAAAACAGGCACCCTGCAACTCAGCTGTCTAGCCTGCTGTTCTGCCATTGTACCAGGGAATGCCAGGCAAGACTATTAAGATCACTGCTCTGCTGTGAATCAGCTAATGGACATCTAAATACAGCAAGATCCTCAGCTGAAGGCTGGCCAGGGAAGTCCACCTATCCCTCCTGCTTGTGCATTCATGGCTTGGCTGAGCTCCGAGTGCAGCACTCTGAAAGGTGGAAGGACAGACTGGGACTTTCAAGGGGAACTCAAGGCCTCCTCCTCCTCCATCCTCCAAGTGAAGTGTACAAATAAGCCAAGAGAGCCACTCCATGCTGCAGTCACATGCTCTGTGGAAGCTGTAATCTCACAAGGACAGAGATATGGCCATGCAAATATGGATTATGCCTATGCTAACAACTGGTCCCTACGGCTCCTAAATGGCTTTTAACTGAGCTGCTAAGGCGTGTGGAAGCAGCTTCCATCTCTCTTGTGCTGCTCGTTAGCCAGGAACATGTTACTCTTCAATACCCTGACTTGAGAGGTGAAGACATCCACTGGCAACTTCTTGGTTTAAACCTCTGGAGGTGAAAATGAGGAGCTGCCTGCCACACTGGGGCCAGATGTCACAACAGCAGGCAGCAAACACAGCAAGAGGGCGGCTGGTAACAGTTGTTGAGAAACCATCTGCATTATAACATCACCTCCAACCAAACCACCTCTAACAGTCCTCACAACAGCCCGGCTGGAGCACCAGCAGTACACTTCTGTGCTGCCACCCCTGCTTCCCTCTGCACAGCTTACCTTGGTGTGAAGTAACATACAGCATACTGTAAGATCCCAGTACAGGCTAAACAAGTTGTAACATAGCTCATGGCCAAAGCAATCCTAACTGCAGAGCTTTAAAGGTAATTGTCTTTGTGTCTGCTCAGCCCCAGCCTGTGCACAGCTCCTGCATCACAGAGCTGACAGCAAAACTTCAGACCTGGGGGAGGCCGAGAGCAGGCCCAGGAGAGAAAAAGCTGCAAACCTCTTAAGGGGAGGCCTTCTCTGAACAGATTTTTTTGTCACTATTGAATTCAACCACAGGGCAAGGCCAAATTTCCCTAAGACAGCTTGAAAACAAGAACCTGTCTCCCTTTCAAAACCCACCAACAGACACTTTCCCAAGGGCGCTGCCTGCACCAGGCATTTGGCTCAGCAGGTGCTCAGCATCTCTGGATGCACAAAAACTTCACCAAAAGCACCCGAACTTCTGCCAAGAGCAGTTTGGGTCCCCCCACAGAGCTGAGACTGGGGAGACCTCTGAGAGAGGGGCCTTTGTGCAGCCCTGGAGATGACTCCCGGTGCCAGAGGCGACCTGGCACAGGAGCCCGGCTGCACCCCAGCTGCAGCAACTGCCCCATTGTCCCAGGGACAGAACAATGGCACTTGTCTGACTGGCCAGGGCATGACGGGAGCCCAGCATTCTTCTCTGTGAAAGCATTCTGCCTGGAAGTTAATTTCCAAAACAAAGTCCCTTTAACTCCAAGCCTTTCCAGACTTCCTCTTGGCAAGAGCAATTTATGCTCTCTGAAAAGGAGAGCTTTAAGGAGATGTTACCCAGGAGAGTGAGCTATCAGGGCAGCTGGCTTTCACCACCATCTGTGAAGGAGGCAACCCTGAGTTTCCATTTCACCGTGATGGGAACAGAGGTCTTGACTACAACCAGCTTGCTGAAAAACACCTCGGGTGCAGCCCACGGCCACCCTTCCTGGTTGTGCTTCTGTTCCCCACCAAAGGGGGCTGCCTCTGTCACAGAGGCCATCCCCAGCCTCACATGTGCCAGGCTCACTGGCCCCTGCCTCAGGGCCAGAGCTTCCCTGCAGCACCATTCAGCAGGCACAGTGGGAGAGGTGGAGAAAGGCCCATCTTGAACCTGCTGGAGCACAAGCTGCAGAGGACAATTGTGCTTGCTGACAGCAGGAGCTGCACCCACACACAGATAGCCAACGCAGCACACAGCCAGTGTGTGACTCAGAGCTGCACTTTGCACCACCTCCAGAAGCCAAACTAATCTGGACTGATGCACAGTTACAGGTGCTGAACCTGCTGCAGGTGCAAAACCAGAAACTCCACCAAGCTCCCACAGTGCAAAGCAAAGGACTTCTCCTCCCATTGCCCACAGGAGCCACTGACAGCATTAAACATCCCAACCACCACCAGCAAGGGGAAAATCCAGAGTTTTCTGTCTTTAGTACCACAAATCAAATGGCAAAAGTGATGGGTGGGGGTGACTTTGCCCCAGAGGGCCACAGTGCTGTGGGGCTGGAGGGCCCCTGCTGTCTCCATGCCTGGCGGAATGCAGAACTGGTGTCTGGGCACCCCCGTTACCTTGGTCACCCCAGGGCAGACACAGCTCTGTGGCAGTTTTCCCCTTCCTGCCTGGTGAGAGTGAGGCTCTCAGGGACAGAGAGGGGCTCTGTGTCCCACAGAGGAGATGGACACTAAGGATGAAGTGGTCGGAGCCAGGGCAAGGGACAGCAGCGGGGATGGCACAGCCAGCCAGGTGAGCATGGGCAGGGAGGCCAACACGTAGTGAGACCAGAGCAAAGTCCAGCTTCAATTTCACCTCTGAAATGGGGTCTGGGATCAAATTTGCCAAGAAGAAATATTCCAAGAGAGCACAGCATGTCAGAGAGGAGAGGACTTCTCTTCCTACACACTTCAGCATGTTTCAGAAGGCAACATGAGCTTGTGTTTAAGTCTGTTATGTAAGTGTTGCTTGCCAAAAGATGAGTGGAGGAGTTACCTACACAAACGTTGACAATGGAAAACAGCCACTGCCCTTTGCAGGGGACAGTGGTACCCACCCTGGGCCAGGCTCAGTGGCTGAGGGTTTTGCTGTGCTGCCAGCCTGGCTCTGCAGCAGGTCAGCCATGGCACCTTTGCCATCAATAAAAGCTGTGATGGAGCAGCGTGACCTCACAAGGAGCCCACTGCAACCACAGACTTCACCCACCCGAGTGACTGCCAGCCCAGATTTGATTAATGCCAGTAGGAACGAGTGGCCATTGTTTACCCTGTAATTTATTAGAGGTAGGAGTTCCAAAAGAGACTTCAAGTAGGCACCTAATTCTTATGGACTTTTAATTATAATTGAATCCCAACTTCATTAAGAAGCTCTGAAAATCCCATCTGAAATGATTTGGCAGGAAGAGAAATGCTTCTGAGCCTTAGGAGAGGGCTTGTCCTTGCCAGTTTTTTTAAAGAAAGGTTTTTTTAAAGCAAGATTAGCATGCTCTGGAAGACTAACCTGTGGTTTGGTGTTTGTAGGCCACAGAAAAGGACCAGGCTGGCACTGTGGAGGCAGCAGCCTTTGTAACAGGCACTGGAAGTGCTCCACCATGCAAGACCCTGTTCATCTGCTGCGCCGACGGCCTGGATCAGGACACCTTCAAAATTGTGAGACACTAAAGAGAATTTAGCAGTAGAAAAAAAGTCAGTGGCATCTCAGGTTCTGGAGAGGGAGGGAGTGAATTGAACTTGGGAGTTCGGCAGAACTCCCCAAAACAACAACAAAATAATCACATTTCATGTACACTGTGCAGTTTTTTTGGAACAAGTACTGTTACTTTATCATTTCACGTGATGCCACGTGCTCCCTGGTTACAGTGGTTTGGTTCCTCTGCATCTCTGAGACCACAGCCACATAGCTCCACCTCACACCAGGACACAACCTTCCCATTCCTGGTGCATCATGGCATAACCACACACAGCCCCAGCCATGGCCCAGTGCATATAACAGATAAACAAACTGGACAAAAGGGGGTGTACCCAGACAGAGTTTGCTCCTGCATCATGTGTGAATGTTTGCAACATCCCAGGTTTGGCCACAGGAAGAGGCAGTGTGAGACAAGCAGTGAAGCAGTTCCCCTTCCCCCTCCCTGCAGAAAACTATCTCCTCCCTAGCCTGAAATTTATACCTTTCACTCTACAATGTTAAACACAAATTATCAGTCTTGGAAACCTCCCAATTCCCTTTTCAAGTCACCTTTGACATGCTTTGTCTGGGGTGTCACCAACCCCAAGACCTGCAGGAGCACTGGGAGCACCTGACAGAGGTCCTGGTAAAGGCCCACGTGAGCCCCCATGTCCACACAGACACACTCACCAAAACACAATGCTCCTTTCCCAGGCAGCTATTTAATCAGTTTAATTAGTGAAAAGGAATGCCTGAGAGCTGGATTTAAAGTGCTGAACACATATGCCAAACCTTTTTCTTTACAGTGCAAAGAACTTCTGAGACCCTTTAAGAAGTCACTCAGGAAACTGCGTTTTCCCCAGCACCTCTCCACAGAGAGAAAAATGAAGTATGCAAAGAAAAGTCTGACTGTGATCGGGACCCACATTGATCAGTTCCTCCAGCAGTACTGCAGACCCTCAGAAGTCAAGCACTGGCAGAAGTAAGGGCACCACACCTCCTCCTCTGACCTGGCACCACACTGGTGACGCTCCCAGTGGGACAGGCTCCTGCCCGTGCTGCTCTCAGCTGGCATTTAGTCACCTGCACTGGCCCTGAGCTTCCAGGCACCAGAAATGAGATTGGGTGTCAACAGGAGACTTGTGTGGCTTACCCAGAGCAAGGATACGTGTCTCCTGCTGACTAACTGCTGAATGCTCACAGATTTTGCAGGTAGCTTTAGCAGAAGCCATGTGGCTGTTGCCCTGCCCAGTGCAAGGCCAGTTTGATGTGCTGTCCACCAGCAATGTCCCTTTACAAGTGAAGGGGCTCCTAGGGGCCACCTGAGCGAATGGATAACCCTTCTCATGCTTAGGGAAGACATTCTTTAGAAGTTTGTGTTTTGGAGAGGAAAAAAAAGAGTGGAGGGGGGAAAAAAAAAAAAAAAAAAGGCTTTGCAGCTATGTCAGAGGCTGCACTCACCATGGCAGAGCCAGGGAGCAGCACAAGGCAGAGGCTGAAGTTTGCACTCCCATGCACAGTCCGTGTGTCTGTCTTCTCCCAAGGATGCTCTGGAGGTTCATCTCCCTCTTCTCAGAGATGGATGAAAGGCAACTGCAGAAGCTGTACAAGTACATCAAGACCAACCAAATGGATAAGTTTATGGTAAGCAAACAGGAAAGTTAATACCCTGTAAGGTGTTCCTGCTAAACTAACTTTAAGGGGACAACTATACCACGCAGCTTGCACGGGTTGGTCCATGTCAAAGGAGAAACCCCCTATCAAGAAGTCTGCTTATCAAAACACCACAAATCCTGCAGATGTTTCCAGTTCCGGCCACAACAGTGCCACTGAGCTGCTGCAGTCACCAGCAGCTTTCCCCAGCTGGCTCTGGGAAGCTAAGCCCATGTCCCCAGCACCATGGTTTACCACTTCTGGAGCTGTTTGCTGATGCCATGTTACCAGTCAGGCTTTAAAGACCAAAGCTGATCCAAAGTTTTATCTGATAGTACAGGAGTTAAACTGTGAAACAAGCAGCTAGTTCAGGCAGAGCCTGCATTTGCCAAAGCTGATTTCTGTGCCTGAGCATTGGCTACATGAGGAAAATGTAACAAATAGTTTTCTGAGAACACCAACTCTGAAGGGTTAAACCAATTTAAGCACACTCACAGCCAACCATAAACATATCTCCTGAGCAAAGGCTGAGTGTGTCAGAAGTTCAAAGGTCTGCAAGACAGACATACCCAAAGAAGTTTATTAAAAAAATAACTTAAACCAGATCTACAATTAAAAAAAAAAAGTCAACTAGGAAATTGCTTTGAGTAAATTAGAAAACAGCAGCAGGCGAGACCTTGTTGGGTCACTGGGACTCTGCTGGCTTCTCATGACAAGGGGAGCTGTGGTCATCTGGTAGCTGGCAGTGATGAGGCCATAAATAAGTTTGAGGCTGCAGGTAAACAGCTCTCCTCCAGTGAGAGAGGAAGGGGGAAGTTTTCCACACAGTTTTTGCTTTTAGTTTAAAATAAACGAGTGGGTTTGCTTCCCAATAAAGGCTCTAAAAAGATATTCCAGCAATGAGAAAAATCAAACCTATCATAAAGAAAAGAACACAAGCACACAAATTCCTGTTGCTGGTGAAAGACACCCGGGATTAATTGGGAGATGCTAAAAAAGCAACTGCAGCTCCAGGAGGCAGGCAGTGATGAGTGTTCTTGCTCCCTTAAACTTAGGAGCTCTGGAGGAGGGTGAATCAAGCTCCATTTGCAGCACAGCCCTTCTCAGAGGCCTGGCTGAGCCCAGGACACGACTGGGCCAGGGACAGCAGGGCCAGGGCCGGGTGTGGGCAGCTCCCCATCCCACCTCGCAGCAAGTGTCACAGAGCCAATAACCCCCAAGCCCCTTCCCATCCTTTTGCTCCCTCATATACAAAACACAACCAGAACACACCATCTACCTTTCCAAGGAAGGAAAAAAGAAAAAGGGAGGGGGGGCAAAACCCCAAAAGGTGGGTGACAAGCATTAGTCACCCTGCATCACGCACTATCGCCAGCGACAGGGCGCTGGGGACGAGGCTGCCTCCAAAGAGACCGACTGAAGAAGCAACAAATCCTGCCGTTATGCAACCGTTGACAAATGCCTTTTGTTATGCAAGACAAGTGGGAGAAAAATCAGCATCTTTGCCCTTTGTGGGAAGGGAACAGCAGTCGGCTCCCTGCTCGAGCATCAACAACAGGCTGCGGATCCGGCCAGGACCGGCGCGTTCCACACAACAGAAATAGATTTGGAAATGCCTCGTTATTTAGATGAGTGAGCATAAAAATACAGAATCAATAGGTAATTAGTAAGCAATTGAGGTTGTCAGCATGGCAATTTGATAATTTTGTGAGTTTTTTTGTTCAAGGAGGCGAGCGAGCAGCCATCCCCCAGCCTTGCTCCCCAGTCATCTTAGAATCAGGGATCTCTGTCCCCTCCCCTCACATTTCAGCTTTTAGGCCTTTCGAAAAAAATTTAAACAATTAAAAAACAATCAAGCAAAAGACACATGTGAATTTAAACACTGGTCCCAACCTTGTTTTTAGACTTACTGAAAATACTAGTCCAGACAGACCCAATTCTCAGCTCAGAGCTGGAATGAAGCATCTTTTCCCTCTGCAGTCTGCTGGTTCCTGCACGCTGCAGAAAGCTGTAGGAACCAGCCCAGGTCTCAGCCTCACAGAGTAAAGAAATAAGTCTTCGGAGATACCTGAGGCTATGGAAGTTGGGTTTTTTTGTTTGTTTGTTTTTTTAAGTCAAACAGCAGAACCACGGGGAACACAAAAATGATTTTCCCCTGGGACAGCCTAGAGGAGTGTGCAGCACAGGCAGCCGCTGCCCACCCGGCTCCGCGGCGCCATCCCACCCCCCTTCGGATGCTCGGCGCAGGGACCCATCGCCACCCCGCCCTCCTCCTCCTGCACAGGGTGCCATAAAGCGACAGTGACATCCAGTGGCAGCACACACCCGTCCACAGCACCCATCCCAGTGGGCGGGACTGAGCAGCACCCACGTCCCACCACACGCACTTGAGCGGCCACCAAAGGGCACCGCTGGCCACTGACGGTCTCCCCAGAGTGCCTGAAGCACGGCAGCCTCTCACCAGAGTGCTGAGGAGGGGTCTGGGCTGAAAACAAGGAGTTTTAGGGACTTGGGTCAACTGGGCTGCACAAATAGCTGAGCTAGGTGTCAGCACAGAAAAGAGCTCTGCAGAGGCCAGCAGGCCTCAGTGCTGGGAGGGATGGAGCCTTGGATCCCAGCTGCCAGGAACAAACGCTTCTCGGGGCGAGGATTTGTGCAGATGGTACAGTCATTTCTTAGCTCATTGCTGCTGCCACCCAACAGGACCATGGTTAAGCAAGAGTTATTGCCCAAGCATGAGTCAAGTGTGGTGTTTGGTCACAATTTTTTTTTTTAATTTTTTTTAAGCAATTGTGCTGCCCTTCAGATAAAACAGATTCAGTTCCAGGACTTGAAGAAGAGAAACTGAAGCAGCTTTACAGCAGCTGGGGTCTCTCCAGTGGTACAAGAGACCTGCAGGAAACCCATGGGCAAGGAAAGCATCAGCACCAACACACCCACAAGGTCACCACCCAGCAGCAAGAATGATGGATGAGAGGTACTGGCACAGCCACATCGTACTGGCACCGAGCAGGAAAGGAATCTGCACGTGGCATTTCTGCAAAGGGGTCAGGAGGTGAACATGTCATCAGTGGTGGAACTAAAGGAGCTGGGCAGGTTGAATTGCTGTCTCAGAAGAGACAGGAGTAGGGAAGGCAGCAGCTAGAGAAGCTACTATAGCATAAGGCAGGAGTAAGGAAGGAGGAGACATCCCTTGGTCAGCCTGCGTCACTCGGTGTTAATTAGGGTGTCTTTACCTAGCAATCTGGAGGCTCAACACATAGTTGTGGTTTGCCTCTGGGCCCACCCTGGCAAAGCCACCTGCTTGTCTTCTGGAGCAAAAATGCAGCCCGACCTGTAGCAGGGGTGTTTGCTCAGCAGAGCTGGGCAGCCTGTGTGCTCCAGCCAGGGCTCCGGCACACGCAAACCCCGACGGGGCCGTGGAAGAGACACCTCGGAAGCAATTGCTGACGAGATCAGCTCTGCCACAAACAGGTGCCACAGCCTGCCTGCAGAAGGAGGCTTTGTCCCACGTAAGCCTATTTTCAAGCTGCTAAAAAGCAATCACATGTCCCGTGGGAGTTCTCATGCACTCATAACCATCCTGCTTTTCATCTCTTTTCTCCCCAGTCTCTTTATTTACCCCCCAAAAGAGTCCGATCTGGTACGTAACAGCTCTGAGGGAGCACTTAAAATCCAAATTGATAAACTAAAAAGTCAAAAAACAAGGGCTATCTAGATAGCATCACCTGGGAGGCTGTGTAGGAGTCCCATGCTAACCCGTCAGCTGCGTGGCTCCAGGCAATCCTCCTCCGCTCCTCTGCTCCCCTCTGAGAATGGGGAAAATACCACTCAAACAATTCTTAGGTAGACAAACAATCCAGAGGCACAAAGTGCATTAAATACCAAGAATTAGTGCAATTAAAAGGGAATGAGCGCAGCAAGGGTTTGAGATTGCTGGTTGCTTGAGAGCCTGGGTGGTGACCCATCAGGAGCAGCCTGATGTTCCTGTCTAGCTCTGGTGGCAATGTGTTTGTGGGATTGAACCTTCTGCAGAATCCACCCAGTAAAAGGCACAGAGGACAGCTTGGGCACCAGCATCAGCTCCTGCAGCAGACAGAGCTCCTCAGAGGAATCAAGCCTCCCACTTACTTTGTGTTTTTGGGGGTTTTTTTGTTTGTTTTTCAGGCTCCCAGACAACTTCAGGTTTTTTTTTTTTTGTTTGTTTTTCAGGTTCCCAGACAACTTCAGAGGTCAACAGAAATCCATTGATACAGTATCACCACCTGAACATAAAACAGGAAATAAAGACCATCTCCATGGTTTCCTGAAACCACAAAATACCGAAATACTTGCAGCATCATAGCAACAGCTTCGACCCAAGCAAAATGAAAATCATACCCTTTTAAACCCCCTGATCTTATTCTGTATTATGAGTGCCCTGACAGCTGCACACCAGCATCGGGACTCGGGCGAGGGTGTGTAAGTATCAGACCTGCCTCTCCTGCCTTGTCCGTCTGGTGTGAGCCCCACTAATGGCAGAACAGTGCATGGAAGGAAGCCAGCAGCTGCTCCCTTCTTTGCTAGGGCAGAAGCTCGGGGCTGGGGGTGCCTGTTCCACACTCATTTCTACCCAAACATACCCACCCACCCCTCCCACCCCCACGAACTCTCCACATGGTCAGCAGCCAGACCGACCAGAGAGGAGGAACCGAAGAGGAAAGGCAAAGAGTCGTGTTCAGAAAACAGTCTGGTAAAAGGAAGTTTCCTAACTTCTACACATCCTCACCATTTCCAACTGTTGTAGGCAAATCCAGCCACAAGTCCATCCACACATCAGAGGCTGTGGCAGATGCAGCAGCTGCTGTCCACTGGTCCAGCCCAGGACTCACCTGAGAGCTAATGCTTCAGGAGAGGAATAGTGAGAAAACAGTAGCAGAACTGGCTGGTTTGAGCTTCAGGCTTGGCTAAATTTGATTTACAGGGAAATCCAGGTTTTAAGGAAACCTCAA